TATCTTTATAAATGTTATAAGTTGACAAAATATAATATAATTTCTAAATTATTGACATTTTTAAAGATATAAGCTCATCCCGATGTTACACTCATCGAGACCTTTCATTTGAGTACCTACATCAATTTTTCATATATTTTTATATATTATATATATGTATATATGAAAAATATATGAAAAATGCATGTGGGTACTCAAATGAAAGCTCTTGATGAGTGTAACATCAGGATGAGCTTATATCTTCAAAATATATATTATATATATGTATATATAAAAAATATATGAAAAATGCATGTGGGTACTCAAATGAAAGCTCTTAATGAATGTAACATCGGGATGAGCTTATATCTTAAAAAATGTCAATATTTAAAAAAGTACAGTGTAATTTAATAAGTTATTAATTTAATAGAACAAAATTTTATTTATTTATATTTAATTATTATTATTAATTCGACTTTTCTGAGTAGATGAAATAATAATATTAATAATAATATATATAAATAATTACAACTTCTGTAATATAAAAAACCAGAATTAAAAAAAATTAATTTCAATTTACAAAACAAAATCAAGAACTGTAACAATCAATCATAGTCATTGCAGATGTAAATGTACAATTAAGATTAATCTTTAAATTTATAAAACTGTGACTAACGTCCAAGCTATGCAATTAAAATTGATATAATTTTATAAAAAAAATTGACAGCTCTACAATATAAATTCAAAAATTTAATACTTATAAATATTAAAATAATTAAAATGGCATTGCAAGTCATTCTTAAATTATTAAAAGATGAATACTTTCTATTCTACCCGACCAAAAAAAGTGTTTTTTTTTTTATCTTCGGGAAGTATAATTCGTTAACATCCGCTCACTTGAATGTCACATTACGTATGTATGAGTCCATTCATTTATCAGCATATTTATTTTTATTTAGAAACATCCTTACATCCATTCACACCATTAAATAAAATATATATATATTGTTTATCATAATTAAATAACCAATTAGATAAAATTTATCAAATAATACATTTTGAATTATCCATAAGATAAAAAATATATTTATCTTATAGAATTTATTTATTAATAAACAAATTAATAAATATTGACAAAGTTAATAATAATTTAGGTTTTAAATGTAGATGATATATATTAATATGATGAAAGTAGTGAATGAGTGAGCAAAGTCTAAAATTAAGTGACGCGTCATTCTCTTCGCGTTTAGTTCGTTCACCATCACATACTATTGTATTTTATATATTTTATATATGTACATATTAACCATGACATCATTGTGCGGAAACAATTGTAAATATTTAAATTATTATTTTTATAATTTAATATTAATCATTTTTTTTAAATTTAGTATTTGTAAAAAAATTATTAAAATTTTTTATAATTTAACATTAATTATTTGGATAAAAATGATTAAATAAAATTTTTTTATGATCAATAATTCTCTTTATTAGAAAAGAGTTAATAGTAATAATTATATGAGTAATAGACTGAAGCTAAATAGTAGTTCTGGGTATTTCGAGTTCGAACCCCGGTGTGGGTTATCTGAATTATTTTTTCGATTACCTGTCAACTTTTATTGAAAAGGTTCCCTTTTTTCTTTCGCCCTTTGTTCGACATTTACTTTTAGATTATTATGTCCCAATAAATTACAATTCTTAGAATATTATACGATTTGAATATAAAATAAAGAAATTAAATATAGTTTACAATATTTTTGACTTTTTATGACTTTTACTAATTGTATTAGTTATTAATTTTTTGGTAATTGTGCAAAAGACCGGCTGTAAGTATTAATGTTAGAAAAAAATTTTTTTTTTCATTTTTGAGTGAAAAATACAGAGAACTTTTTTTTTATATAAGTATACATAGTTTGGAGACTTTTTAATTAAAAATTTTATTTCAAGCTTTTTAATTAAAAAATTAATTTTTTTAAGCATTAGAAAAATTATTTAAAGATTATAAGTATTTGGTTGAAAAAAATAATTTTTGAGTAATTAATATAAAAATTAATTTATTAAAAATTTGAAGTCTTACTAGTAGGCAGTCACTGCGTGACTGCCGAAAATTACGACTTATAAGTAAGAAAATTTAAGTTTAATAATTTTCGATATTTATGACACTATAAATAATTTTTTAAATTAAAGTCAAATGAAATCTATCAACAAAAATATTTACATAGAAAAAATTGATATAATTATTTAAAGTTTTTTCAATTACTTAACTATGCATCTAATATAAATTTACTACTTAATGAAATATTATACATCTATAATATAAAATCTGCCATTTTTAAAAGATAAATTTTAATAAACAATTTTTCTCTAAAAAACTTAATAAAATCTGGAGTAATACAAATGGCAGGTCAAATAAAAAAATGGCAGTTTTTTAATAATCACATTGTTCGAATTAATAATTATGTGTATGGTATTTTTTTAACTTACAGTGCTTGAGCACAAGTGTAAATAATAATAATTAATTAATTAATATTTATATATAAATGTGTCTACATATTTACACTTTTTTTTTTGTAATGGTTTTGTAGCAAATATTTGTATCAAAATGTACAAAATAAATTTAAATGCTGGATATATTTTTCATATTAATTGACAGTATTTGTATTTTTGTCTATCTCTTTCTATTATTATTATTATTTAATATTTACGTATAAAAATAATGGTAATAAATATCAGTATCAAAAAAAAGAGAGCCTGAGTTGCAAATACAAAAATACACTATAAAAAAAATTTTTTTTTAGCAGATATAAATTTTACAAAATACTTTTTTTATTTAAGCTAATTTAGAAAAAATATTTTGATTTATAATGATAATATTAATCGTATGGATATTTATCCATAAACACATGAGTAAATAATAAACACGTTGGAATAAAGTGTTTTCCAATTTGTCAAAGTAATTGTCAGAGTCATTAGCCCCAAGTAATGTTAAAGACAACGTGCAACGACCCATCACAAACAACACAACTCTCTATCTTCTTTTACACATACATACATACATACATCTTCTGTATCTTCTACTGTACCATACTCCCTTTACTAAACTTGTCTATATTTTACACACGTTGTGTTGCTTTATAAACTATCTCTTTGGCTGGCAACTGTATTTATTCATCCATAACACGTGACTGTGCCTGGGTTTTACTCTACTATAACTGCTAAACTCCCTATACCTTTTACATCCATAGATTATACACACAAACCGTGTATTTTCATATGTGGGAGGCTTACGAGTATTATACACCCGGACGCGTTTGACTACCGTTCACTATCGGTTCAAACCCAACAATATAACATGTAACAATACAACAAATAAAAACCTAGTCGTCAATTCTTCCTGTTATGTATGACTCAACTTGCAATTTTAATTCTTTGTTTATATATTATTTTATTTGCCATTTCCTGAGATTGTTAATTGTTTAATTTAGAAAACTTGGAATAATTATTATTCATTTTTTAGAGATTACGAAATTGACTCCTGGAATAAGTAAAATGAAAATTTACAGTTATATTTCTTTATTTAAATTGTTTGGTAACTGTGAGAATAAAAGGAGGTCATTGTGCTTTAAGAAAGGAAGCTTAGTACCCCAAATTTGATAAATTTATCTATTTATTTTGTGATATATTGAGAAGTTTTTAGGAGACTAGAGAAGAAAATATTTATTTTTTTTAAGCTAGAAAAATTATTTAAAGATTGTAAGTACTAGGTCGAAAAAATAAATTTTTGAATTATTTTTTTGAAGTGATTAATATAAAAATTAATTTATTAAAAATTTGAAGTCTTACTAGCAGGCAGTCACTACGTGACTGCCGAAAATTACGAATTATAAGTAAGAAAATTTAGGCTTAATGATTTTTTGATATTTATGACACTATACATAGTCTGGGTAGTTTTTAAATAAATTTTGAAAATAATAGTGCTATCACAGGATCAATTAAAAATAATTAAATGGACAAATGTGACGGAATAAATTTATAGAACCAACAAACTATTAAAAACTCCTCCAAAAACTTTAAATAAAAAATTTTCTAAAAAATATATAAAACCTAGGCACTAATTCTTATCAAGACCTTTCTGATGATACCAAATTAAACTACAAAAATTCCTTTAAAAATAATAATAAGCTCGTCGGAAAATTTTCCTTACTCTCTCAATTATTTAAATCATAAATTACTATCGCTGAAAAAATATCAAACCCAATTTGCAATAAAGATATACCCGTTAAAAATTTTTCTTAGTCTCTTAATTATATAAATTAATTTTTGACTTGTACAAAACAAAATAAATAAATAAATGCAGGTTCCTATGTATGTATTATTTAATTATGTAATTTGTCCAACTATATTTAGCTAATAATAAACACTAAGACTAACTTAATTGTCTCTAGATTTCTTGATCGTCATGGAGATGTTCGAGTTAATGTTAGTTGAGAAATAAAATGAAAGCGAGTTAATTGTCTACTAGTCGATTTCAAATTTCTTCTTTATATTTACTTGTATAAATATATGAAGAAGTATATAAATTTTTCTATATACTATACAATTTAGTAAGCGGATAAATGAACAGTTTCTGTGCTTAAGATTCCCTGTAAAAAAGCTAAGTTGGGAAATGTAGAAACCGCGATTACAACGTGACACATTGCGGTGTCATATCAAGCTTCATGGATGCACTCCAGGAATTTCAATCTTGCTTTTTTTTCTTCTCGCTCTGAATATTTTTCTTTACTCTCTCTTTCATTCGGGTTTGTTATTTACTTGTTCACTCGTTCTGTCGTTCAACGACAAATTAAATAAAAGTTTTTTTTAGAAATGAGTTAAGTGAATTGTTTGTGATCGATTTTGAAAGTAAAGTTAAGAAAAATTTTTACTGTTAATTATTTAAAGAATTGAAATTAGTTTTGGTTTAGATTTAATTGAGAAATTTTAATGCTTCATTGAAATTAATTAAAAAAATTTTTATTAAATTAAGGCAATGATTTTAATTGGTGATTAAGATTGACAATGAAAGTTTTGTTAGCGATAATCAGAGCTTGGAAAAATTTAAGGTGAAATTACGGATATTTAAATTTATTAATTATTATTGAGGTGGGTTGTCAAAAAAATGATGAATTTAATTTTTATAAATTATTTTAATGAAGTTTTTAAATGAAAAGTTTTAAGTTATTGATACTAAAAATGAAATTGGATTTTATAGGTGTTAAATTACTTGTTTTCTCTGTAGTAATAATATTAGAATGTATAAATAAATTGATGAAAGCGTTAAAATGATTGGATTATTTTAAATAAATTCAAATATCAGAAATAAAAAGTAAAATTTTATAAATAATTGAAGAAATAATTACTTTAGTAACTTTGATTTGAAATTTAAAGAGCTTAGTCAATTATAAAGGTTGTCCTGTTGGAGCAATGTGTTTACCAAATGTTACTGGACGAATATTTCTCAAGAGAAATTATTTTAGTGAATGAAGGAACAAAATGTTCCAACATTTTTTTCTACAGTGATAAAAAAATTAACTTGATTCAAGAAAGACACTCTTTGAGCCAAGGCAATCACTTTAAAGAGTTTCATCGTCTTTAATCACCACCAAAAATTATTTAATTAAGCTAAATTTACTCAAACCAATTAAAGTTTCTTAGTTCAACAACTTTTTTATTTTATTCAAGACAATCTAATTCTTCAAAATTATTTTATTGGCTAAACATTTTTTCTCTTTAATCAAGAAAATTTTTTTATCAGTCCAGAAAAAGATTTTTCTTCAGAAACATTCACATTAATTTATTCAGAATTAAGCTATGTGGAAATTTTTAAAAGAACAAGCTCTTTGCGTGGTAAAATTATAAGAAAACTTCAAGTTGGGCCCTTAACCTTTGAAAACTGAAAGCGCTCAATTTTTAAATAATTTTTTCTTGAAGATTTTGAATCATTAAAATAAAATCTTGCTCTAAAAAAATAGTCTTGTAATATAATTAAAACCTTGAGTATGAATTCTTAAATTGAGGTCTTAGTTATAAATCCCACTAATTAATCAATAAAATCCTTGTATTATAAACCGGCAATATAACAATAAAAAATTTATTTATTTATTATTATATTATTGTTCTCCTATCTAAAAAAAAAAAGAAAACTAAAGCGCAATTTAAATAAAATCCGTAATCTCGACATTGAAATCATGTGAGTGATTCATATCTTAAGGAAAAAAATGTTAAACAATAAACCAAGGCTACTTGAATTATATAACCGTGGCAAATAATCTCAAAATGACATCACTGTAATAACTAATAGTGATTTGATAATTCTCAAGTTCTCAAAAAAAAAAAAAAAAAAATCAGTGGACATTAATCATAAATCACAACTCCCAATATAATAATGAAAATGAATAACTAAAATAAGTTGACAGGATAGAATAACATCATTAACATGTCGAAGTACTCTCGACTTGTACCCAGGAACACTTTCTATACTCACTGGTTGTCCTAAATTAATAAATAATCTATATTTTTAAGAGAATAAGAAAAATTTTGTCTCCGGGATAGTCATATGATAAAATCGGTTTTTTTTTTTAGGTATTTAGGCTGCATTTGAAAATATATCTCGTGAACTATTGACATTTTTAAAGATATAAGCTCATCTTGATGTTACACTTATCAAGACCTTTCATTTGAGTACCCACATCAATTTTTCATATATTTTATATATATACATATATATAGTATTTATAAATATATAAAATATATAAAAAACTGATGTGGGTACTCAAATGAAAGGTCTCGATGAGTGTAACATCAGAATGAATTTATATCTTTAAAAATGTCATTAATTCACGAGATACAAAGTAATATCTTCAGTATTGACATTTTTTAAGATACAAACTCATTTCGATGTTACACTCATCAAGACCTTTCATTTGAGTACCCACATCAATTTTTTTATATATTTTATATATATTTATATATAATATTATATATATATATATATATGTATATATGAAAAATATATAAAAATGCATGTAGGTACTCAAATGAAAGCTCTTGATGAGTGTAACATCAAAATGAGCTTATATCTTTAAAAACGTCAATATTTAAAAAAGTACAGTCCAATTTAACAAAAGTCATTATTTAATAAACTAAAATTTTAATTTTTTATACACTATAGTCACGGCAGTCACGTAGTGACTGCAAGGTTGCTAGTATTTTTAAAGTAATTTACAATTTTTTTTTTTTAATGATAAATTCTTTTTTATAACAATTTAATTATTATACACACTATAGTGTGTTTTTTGATTTTCTAAAAATTTTTTTTAAGAAAAAGAAATAATAAAAATAAAAAATTTATTTACCTTTAAAATTTAATAAATGAATTTATTAATGAATAAATTAATAATTATTAATTTATAAATAAATATTAATTTATAAAATTTATAAAAAAGTTTCTTTTATTAATAGAAGATAAACAAGTTCTTTATATTACCTGTCATTGTTATCTTATACCCAGCGCATGCGCAGAAAAAATGAGACATCTATAGTCAATCATTAAAATGAAGAGTCAGACTGTATAAAATTCTACAATGTCTCCATATTTATTTATCAGTTAGTCTCCATGTTTGTTGTTTCCGTTTAATAGTTTGGTTAAGTGCTGAAAAAAATTAAATTTAATTAATTATAAATAATTAAATATGAATAAATCACCATTCAGTACACCACGTGGTCGCGGACAAAATGGAAATCAAAAACCATACTACCGTAAGCAACGCGGCTACTGGGATAGTAAAAATTCAAACCAAGTGTCTCCGACGAATAACAGTAGTCAAAAAGAGAAAAATTTAAACACCAGTGGATCCAGTGACGATTATATTCCTTTTAACAATAGCTTACCTTCCCCGTTTAATAAAAGCTTGCCTTCACCCTCGCTGGCATCTCCACCAGCAGTGTCAACATCTTCGCCGTTCTTTCATGTGCAAAAGCAGGGTGGTCAGTTTTATGGCCAGCATCAGCGGTACTCGCTTGGGAATGAGAGTCCTAGTCATAGTCCACGTGGTCGGAGGAGTTTTAATCAATCTTTTTCTCCTGGTTATAATAATAAACCTTTTTCTCCTGGGTTTAATAATAGAGCACCTAGAGGAAGGCATACAGTAAGTTTTTTATTCTTTTTTATTTATGATACTCAAATCAGCTGATTTTTGAAAATTTTCTTTTAATTCTATACACAAATTAATTATTTTAAAAATTGATACTAAAGTTAGCCGATGTTAATTAAATTAGAGTAAAAAAATATTTTTTAAAAATTGCATTGACAGTTTTTTACAAATAAAAATTTTTTTTTAATAAAAAAAATTACTAAAAATTTTTAAATGTCAGCTCAATTTACATTATTATTAAGAGAATAAGCAAAATTTGGTAGTTAGATTATTTATATGATAAAATGGGTTTTAATAGTTAAATTTACTCTATTTCTAGATAGATAATTAAGAAATGACCTTGTATCTTGTGAACTATTGACATTTTTGAAGATATAAGCTCATCCTGATGTAACACTCATCAAGACCTTTCATTTGAGTACCCACAGAAATTTTTTATATATATATATATATATATATATATATATATATATATA